CCGTAAAGTTTGCGGCGCGATGAGCCTTGCACCGCTGCCCTGGATATGGTATGGCATTCACTCCCTATATCAGAATGTTCTTCTCCTGACGATTCGCTGGACAGTCCCAACACATCAAACATCTCTTGTACCACATGGAGCTGCACAGCCGCTGCACACTTGTGATCCCTGCTCCAACGCTCTCCACACATATAGCAGAGACCTCTGGCTCGACGATTGGCACGCAGAGTTAACAGCCTATCTTCCACTGAGCTGCTTCCTTTCAGCCCGTCCGCAGCTGCTCCCCGGCGTTCATCAGCTTGGGTAGCAGTCGTGGGTGGTGGTCACCTAGGTGGTGCTGGCAATGGATAGCCCCCTTGAGGTGGGAGCGACTGCCCGCGTCATTGCCTGTTGCGTTCTCCGAGCGTCTTGGCTCCCTTCGTTTGGAGATTTCCAGCGCCTCCTTCTGTAAGTAAGCCAGAGAAACAGCAGTATCGAGGTCTTTTGAATTATGAACCAACACAACAACTCGAATTTCATCACGTAACCCATCAACAAATGGGAAGGAAACAGAGCAGGGTCCCAAGTAGTGTTGTGGGCTAACAAGGAATGCATAATTTTGAACTTGGTGGTGTAATCAGTCACGGAGTCTGTCTGCCACAAATGAAACAACTGGCGCAGCAACACCGTGAACTCCTTCCTCTCAAACTGCTCACAAACTGTGGTGCAAAAGTGTTCCCACTCCATGTGTCGCAGATCGAAATCATTGTTTTCGAGCCACACCATTGTTGCTCCCGTGAAGTGCATGGCAGTAGTGTCTACCCAGAGCACCGGATCTAAACGAAAAACACGGAAATAGGACTCGCAATTTCGCTTCTAGCTGCGCGGGCGTTCCCCCCAAAACTAAGGGAAATCCATCTTAGGCCTCGAAACAAGAGAGGTGTGCTGCCGGAACGGACTGCGAGAACATGGTGGTAGCGGACTGCCCGATCTGGACATGCCCCGCAACGGTGACCGCCCTGGCGGCCGAGAGCGATGATCAACAGAAAACTGCCCCGCGGAGGAAAGGAAATTTGGGGAGGGTGCCATACCCGTGACCGGAGGTGGGACTAGAGTGGTGACCACCCCAGCACAAACCCCCCGATGAATCTGGTCGACGCGGTGGCCTTCGGGCCCTTGGTGGCTGCTGCCGACATGGGGTTGTGGCGCACCTCCGGATCGATCAAAGATGGGCGGTAGATCTCCCGGCTTAACGCCGAGCACGGGATTTCGGGCGATGACGTCCAGCTCCTTGCGCACCCCGCCCAGCTCCTGCTGCACGTCGGAGAGCGATTTCTCCAACATCGGCTTCCAGGCGGCCAGATCGGCCACCACCGGCTAGATCTCGGCGATGATGGTGGTGGTTGCCGCCACCGCCTTATGAATGGCGACGTTCTGCTCCTGGATCGCCTTGAGCGCCGCCGCCATCTCCTCCACTCGCTGCCCCATCTCGTCGGCCTGACGCTGCTGGCGCGTGGTGAACGACGGCTTCTTCAGGTAATCAGGGAGCTCTGATACCATATGTTACGTCCCTCTTGCTCGATTCACTTAGTTCATGGTGATACAGGCGAATTTGACGAGTAGGGTTCTTGGGAGGAAAGGGGATCGGGAGAGGGGAGAATACAGGAGGTGGGAGGACGAGGAAGACAGAGTGGGGTGGTTGACCGATTACAACGCCGTGCCTCTCCCATCGGGCTCACACCTACTAATACTCACCCACCCAGCTCTCATGTGGCCGGGTCGAATAGCTTGTTGGACTTCTTGGCTCTCCTGGGTCGGGCCTTGCTGCTGTCAGTCGTGGCAGTGATGGGTGCTGTGACATCGGTGTGCGTAGAGTTGTATCGGTGGCCGATAGAATTTTGAGGAAATATTAATTTTACCTCCACCTCTTCCGCAAATAAATAAATAAATAATTCTACCTACAGCTGATCGCTGAGTTCGACACTTTTACTTATCGAAAAAGGTACAACTGACCCCCTACCCTTGTGAATTATTGTAACAGGGAATAGAGAGGGAGATTGGTGAAATCGATGATGTATCGCTTGAGCCTCGTGGGCATATATATATAATTATATGATTAACTTAGAGTACAAGACAAGTCAGAACAAATTCTAATCTATCTCACATTTCCTAAGTAATCACGATACTCAACAGTTATCACTCCTCCACTACGAGTGTGCTCTTCGCGAGCTCTCTAGACTGTTTGCTTTTGTTAAAAGAAACCTTATAGAGGAGCTCATGTGATCCTCAAACAAAGAATTGATATAAAACCCACGTGTTACCGACAATTCCACAGCCACAAAACCCCAAACCGAAAGGACCCAACTCGTCAAAAAGCATTCCACACCAAGCTAACAAATGTCAAAAAAGATGACTTGTAACCCATGACACATATGACACTTCACGTCCTTTTCTTCTCCAAGAAAACCGGTCTGCCGGAAGTAAGATGACAAACAGCAAGATGTGAATGCTACACTAGATGATACTGACAGAAAATTAATCATGATTAGCAATTTCACCAACACATATGGTATAGTTCTTTTTTATTACACATATCGATGCCTAGCAACGTACCACCTTGTCTCTGTTTCCGCTAACTATGGTTAGATCCTAAGTTTAGGGGAAAAAAAACTATGGTTAGATCCTCACGACTATCGGTTGAGTGGTTTATCTGTATTGATTTTTGACTATAATATTCTAGTGGGTCCATGATCTGTGTCACTAGGTTACCAAACCACATTTATAAAATTGAAAAGCAAAGTAGCATTTGGTCGATTCCAATGCATAATGCAGAATAGGTTCCTCAACTAATATCATCCAAGGAATACTTTCTCGGAGCTGATTTTTTTTATAATTGTATATTTATTTTTTTGAGAAAAATGTTGTAACATATCGAAGTTATTAACTTGTCAAATTGATTCTTTCTTTTGTTGACATTTTCGAGTTAAATTTGTTGAGTCAATGGCCCAATAGCCAAGAGTACTGGCAGGTGTGACGTATTTTTGTGGAAATTTTGCATACTATCCACCAAAATTATTTATTCTAGAAATGACAAATTTACGGTTTTGAAAAGGAAATAATTGGACATATAGCTTAAGTAGATGCACCTGAATGTCAGCAAGAGTGAGGTAGGCAGCCTAATAGCCTAATCCAATTGTGCAAGCACTTTTGTAACTAACATTTGATCATGCACAAAACAACTCATCATAAAAGAGATCTTACATCATTGTACTCTCAGAAGGATCAAATATTTATCATAAGCTATCCGAAAACAGAAATTAAATTTTAATCAATGTGCTTTGTGCCACAGCTGCTAAAGAAAAATAATAGTATGTTGTAAATCGGCGATGTACTTCCCTTCAAACATGCCATTCTCCTATTAGTTACAGTGAACAATCAGCAACATATACCAGTGTTAAGCATTCGCACTTTACTTATATTCATGCGTTCTCTGTATTTTGTTCTGAAACAAAGAATTCCACGGTAATTAGGCTATAAGAGAATATTATCCTCATACCATGCATGTCCAAAGTAGTACTCCCTCCATAAAGAAATATAAAAACGTTTAAATTACTACTTTAATGATCTAAATGCTCTTCTATTTTTTTTACAGAAAGAGTACAAGTTTGTGTAACTAGAATAGGCTGTTAGGGAGTACGAACCGACATATTTTTCCTGGGGGAAAAAACCGGCATACATTTGTGACCGGAGCTAGTTTGGAATCACTTGAAGAAAACAATAAGTTTTTATCATACTCCTCTCGAAACAGGCTCTCGCCCTACTTTTTATATATAAAGCAACTCCTAACACAGTAATTGTTCATATTGGCGCACCCACGTTTTGCAGGTCATGTTGGTAGGCCCGAGAGCAGCTCTTGTCTCCAGTGCAAGACCTTCGTAGTAAAATTATGCATGCCAGGATAATGCAGCCCAATTTTATTTTGTATTCCCGGTCACACAGTACATGTCAGCACAGCGGGTGAGCCAAGGCGTGAGGCGACCATACCGAGCCACCGTCCGTGCCAGTTGTTTTATTATGACAAGAAAGATGCATCGGTCAGGGCAGACGAGGACTCATCGATAGCGCATCAGAAGTGAACCTCGCAGTGGTCGATGTGTACTATGATGTTAACCATCCGATCCTTTTCAATGCCTCCAGGAGAAAGAGAAGGGATCCGTCCAAATTCCAAGCACAATCTTTGTCAATGCCCCTGCCGACCTTGGATTCTTTTTCCCCGCCCGGAAAGTTTTAATTCCCTGCAGGAATGAAGAAAATAATTCCGGCATTTGGAACCAGCAACAGCAGATGAACAACGATTACTCCACATAGATGTAATGCTGTGTGATGCTATAACGTAATCTGCATTTAGACAGTTCATTGTGAAGAAAAATCAAGCAGTAGCAGAACTTAATCTTGAAGGACGGAGCTTAATTTTGGAATAGCAAGTGGGAACTTTACATCAATCATGGTTCATGAATCTCAAGTACAACAGCAATATGTTATTACAACAACCATGAGTCGAGTCATGGAGCAACAATTTGATGTAATACTAATATCCTTCTCCCCTCCTAATCCTTGGTTCACAACACAACCAAAGGATAAGGGGGCAACAGATAAGATAGTACCATAAGATAAGAGTAATTCATAATCCTCATAGTGAGGAAGTCACCTTTATAAAGATCAACGAGAAAGGGGACACTAAAGTAGAAATATAAGGAGAAATGCCTCACCTAGGCAAAGCTGGCAATTTTGATGCAGTTGATTAGGCTCCATTTCCTCCATTTGCTTCACCTGTGGCCAAGCTCGAAATGCTAAAAATCTCCTCACCTTCTACACCAAACAACCCCAAAAGAATGTGGCACCAGTACTTGCTAGCATGATGTCCTGAGGCTGGTAACTTAGCAGCAGCAGGCAGTAGCAGCCGGTTGAAGCACAGCCAAAAAAATTTCACCTCTCTTGATTCATCTGTGTGTTTGGTTGTTCTAAACTACCATCTCATCGAGCTGGAGCTGTTCGAGCCACCCACCGATGACACCAGTGGCGGCGTCCTCCTCACCGTCGATGATGCCCTCACGGTGGTTCGCTGTTCGACCCAAGATGGCACTGTCATCACCGGCAATGCTCTCGTGGTGGCTTGCTGATCGGCCCAAGATGCCAATAGACTCTGTTGCCATGGTCCCGTTGGTTGATGATTTCTCCGGCGTGGGCTCCTTTACTAAGGTATTGACCCATGAGAGGTCAGGCTCATCGGTGTTGGCCCCAGACCGGAGATCAAACGACGAGGACCGCTTGAGACGGCCAAGCTCGTCGTTGTCAGCGCCCCAATCTGGGGTGCCCGAGGGGAGGCCCCATTTGGACCAGCTAGAGCCCACCACCGGTGAGCCGACCAGGAGCGGGGCGCTGGAGCCCAGGTCTCTTGAGCTCATGCTTCGCAGTGTCTGCTGCTGCATCATCTCCCGCTGCGCCAACGCAGCGAGCAGCCGGGAGCTCATTGGTGAGACAGGCTCTGGGGTGGCCGCAGCCCGTGGCGAGAGCAAGCTCTGATGCTGCTGGAACTGGTTCAGGAAGGCGGCCTTGTGCGTCGGCGAGAACGCAGCGCCGCCCTGGTCGGCGTACCGCGGCGAGTGGGAGGCCGCCATCTCCGCCGAGAACAGTTCGTCCAGATTTGACGGCACAAGCGCCTTCCCCCTCGCCGACCGCACAGAGGCAGGCGATCCAAGGTGGTTGTCATAGTCCCCCGAGGCCAGAAGCTCGTCGACCGCCATGGCCCTCGCGCTCAGCGAGGTGCGCAGCCGGCTCAGGTGCAAGTTCCCTGCGCTCCCGGGGAGGCACAGCGCCGGCAAGTTAGGCTGCGGCCACGCCATGCCACTCCCTCCACCGGACGGCGACAGCGGCGGCGTGAACGAAGATCCCGGAGATGACAGCCCCATCCCCATGGCGGCCATCTCCATCGCCCCGCGGGGCGACGGCACGGCCGAGCCTGTGGACACGTACAGCGGCCGGAGCTCCTCCGGCGTGTGAGCGAAGAAGCAGACGCGGCGCGCGCAGCCGACGCCGTCCTTGCAGAGCCGCGTCCGGTACTGCGCCGGGTGGAGCCAGCTCTCGAACACCCCGTGCGCATACTCGCACATGTCCCCTCTCCTGCACCCGGCGCCCTTCTTGAACTCCGGGCACGGCACGCAGCTGTAGTGGTACTTCCTCGGATCCCTCCGCCGCGCGTTCTCTCCTGGGTGGACGAAGGGGCACTCCGTCCAGTCGTGGGAGTAGGCCCTGGAGCACGCGCGGACCTTGAAGGAATACATGCGGAAGTCGTCGGAAGCGTATGCGCCGTTCTTGATGTCCGGGAGTGAGGGGTCCGGTGGCCACTCCTTCCGGGCGCCAAGGAGTGAGAGGATGTGGTTCTTGAGGGGCAACGAGTTTGGCGGCAGCGCGACGAGGTCTGACGGCCGGCGGTGGAGATGGTCAAGGAGGGTAGGGTCGGCGCCGGCAGCGAGGAGGCGGGAAACGGTGGTGGGTGCGGATGGAGCGCCGCCCGCGGCGGCGAGGTGGAGCGGGGTGGAGAGCGAGGAGGCGGAGGCGCGGTTGGGGTCGGCGAGGTGGGGCGGCGAGAGGAGGGCGTCGAGGCAAGCCAGGGACCCGTACGCGGCGGCGACCATGAGCGGCGTCATGGGCTCCGCGCCCCGCGCCGGAGAGTACCACGGCGCCGGCTCATCCGCGAGGAGCGGGTGCGCGGCGAGAAGGTCGACGAGCGCCGTCACGTCGTCGTCGGCCACCAGCTCCAGCAACCTCGCCGATACAGCCGCCACATCCACCCCGTCATACTCGGAGGCCTCCCACATGGGCGGCGGCGCGCGATCGGAGAAGGTGTTCGAAGAAATGGTGGAAAGCGGGGAGGGGGGGAACCGGCTCCTCTACCGTGCCGCTGGGCACGGCAGAGTGCCGTGCCTTCTCATACGCCCAGCCTGTGCATTGATATGGGCCAGAAGGGCCTCACTCCTGGTCGAAAATTCATCTTAACAGCCCAGCCGTTCATCTGATGCATCACAGTTTCCTCAAAAAAAAAACATGATGCATCACAGGGCTACACAGGCCAACTAATTAACTATTTTCATACAGTCATTTTTTTAATTATTTCCCGGCCCTAAAAACTACTCCCTCCATCCATAATATAAGAACGTTTTTGATATTATACTAGTGTAAAAAATGTTCTTATATTTTGAGACGGAGGAAGTAGTTAACTATTTCCCAACCCCTAACAAACTATTTTCTCTATAAAATACTAAGAGCAACTCCAACAGGGCGACCCATTTCGACCGTCCATGTCCGTTTGGGTCGCCGCGGACAAAAACGCCGGCCCAACGCGCCGACCCAAATTCAAAATGTGCCTGCTTCGTGTCCGTGCGGATGCATTTCAGGCCCCAAGACACGTCGCGCGTCTCCTCGGTGTCCGCCGCGGTACCACACGTTGGTCGGCCAACCACCGCACTCCGTCATATTTAACGCGTCCACCTACCGCGTGCGGGCCCACGCGTCAGCGACTAGAAGCTACATGGGTCGTCCTTTTTAAATCTAGCGTGTGCGGGGGGGCACATCCACTTCCGCTTCTGCTGCCCATCCATATTTAGTTGCACGCTCCCTCACCGGCGACATAGCAAACCCTACCCATGGGCTTCTTCGGCGGCCCCGACAAGAACAAGGGGAAGCTCACCCCTGACAGTTCCTACTCCGTCGTCGCCAGCGCCTGCCCGCCCTGCCAGGCAACGACTGCACATTCTGGTGCACCAGGCGCGATGGCACTGCCAGTACAGGCAGCTGCTGTCGTAACTGGATGTGACCGTACCGCACGACTGTCATCTGGATCCGCATCGGATCTCGGTGCCGCGGTCGCAGCGGGCACATGCGGTGGAGATGCGCAGGCGGCGGGAGCTACTCATGTCGGAGCAGCGTCAGATACCGGAGGAGCAACGGCGCCGTAGCATCCAACACCACGACACCAACCCCCGCCGCCCCCAGTCGTCAAGCAGGAGGAGGAGGCTGCCTACCAGGCGGTGTTTGCGGCAGCCATGCAGACCTCCATTAAGGAGGAGCGACGCAAGGCGGAGGCGGACTACCAGCCGCAGCTGGCAGAGGCCCTCGCCCTCTCTGCCGCAAGTAGCATGAAAAAAACAAAAAAAAATCCACCAAAAATATAAACGTGCCAATAAAGCTGATAAAACAATAACAAATAAAAATAGAAACTTTATCACATGTCTGTATATATATATATATATATATATATATATATATATATATATATATGTATGTATGTATATATGTATGTACATATATATGTATATATATTAGAAACTTTAACACATGTCTGCTTGAACATGTTGGCTAAAAGAAAAAAAATGAAACGGAACGATACCAATACCAATAAAATCATTTTTTTAGTATGAGTTCATTTCCATTTTAGAATGTTGCTCATATGTATTAATTAATACTCCATCCGTTTCTATATATTAGTCTTTTCAAGATTTTAATATGAACTATATACGGATATATATAGACATATTTTAGAGTATAGATTCACTTCTTTTGTTTCGTATGTAGTTCATATTGAAATGTTTAAAAAAGACTTATATTTAGGAACGGAGGGAGTAGGTAATTAGTCTTTTGAGACAATAACAGTAAATTAGTATTTCATAGGAGAAATAGTTTTTTTTAGACAAGGGAAATAGTTTTCTTAAGAGTTGGGAAGTACGTAGTTAATTAGTTTTTTAGCAAAAAAGAAAATAGTTAATTGTTGACCTGTGCTGCCGCGTGATGCATTAGGAGGCCTTTCTGGCCCATATGTGCACGCTCTTGCGTAAGAAGGCACGGCACTCTGCCGTGCCTAGCGGCACGGTAGAGGAGCCGGTTCCGGGAGGGGGAGGGGAAAGGGAGGGGGGCCTTTGGGTTTTTGGACAAAGCTAGGTTTTGGTTGGGGTTGGGTTTTGGTATTTGCTATGCTCCATGGACAAAAATGTCGTTTTCACAGCTTTGCTCCTCGGAGCACGGTGAATTTTTGGTTGAGATGCAATGGATTCTTTAAAAAAGAAAAGAGTTCGAATTGCGATGCAATGGATTCACAACTTTTAGCTTTTACCGCGATGGTGTTGTAGGATTTTGAGTGGAGGAGGTTACACGAAATCAATTCTATAGGGCAGAGGGAAAAGGTGCTGAATAGTTTGAGTGGAGGTGCTCACACTGAAGATTCATCCTATTAGAAAAAGCACATTCTCCTTCTTTTTCTTAGAAAGGGTAGGCGGTATTTACACGTGCTTTCTTTAGATTGGTCAAAAATTGGAGTATTGTACAAACACGATCTACGCAAACAAGATTCCAAAACACAAATTTGACCGTCAATTTTTGCATTAACGTATTTACATAGCTAATGAAATTGCATATAATTGCGACAATTACTTAGATATATATTCTTTTGTTATAAATGATTCAACTGGAGTAGTTTGATCATAACTTTGCTATAAACAAAAACTTTTAGAGAATGAGGAAACAATTAGTAGAATAGCAACTAACATGTGTTTTGTTGGCCTTCCACGCGGGCGGTGGCCGGCCAGCTGCGCTACGGTCTAGGGTTTGGTGGTGGTGATCCAGATCCGGTCGACCGGGCAGTTGTGACTATAGATTGTGCTGCAGCGACCTCCTACTGCTCTATGATGGTGGTGGTCATCAAAAGGTCTTCATAAGTGTTCATCTCTCAAGATCCAGTGGTTATGATATGCAAATCATGGACGACGGCTTGCCGAAGAGGCCCCTTATGGACGACGGTTTGCAGCGATTGGTCCAAATTATGGACGACGACGGTTTTGCGGCTGCGGCCGTTGCATCACATGTAACTGTTGGGATTAAGAAAAAGTGGAGGAGACAACACTTAAGTGACTTTGATGGTGGTGCTACTCGAGCACCTGATCTCGAGCTCCGAAGCGACAACCTAGGTCTGACCCAAGCTGGTTATACCTGGCAATGACGATGTTTTTTGAATGTCGTTACTTGTTGAAGGCATTGTTCGGATATGTTCGGATTAATTCTTCAGATCCTAGATTCTAGTCGTGAAAGCGGCACTTGAGTGTTGCTTTCATTCTGAAGGCATTGTTGTTGAAGAACCTCATTGTCCGTGTGGTGTCATGATACAGTTGATGTGGATATGGTCATTCATGCAGGTTTCCGATTGCTTTGGAGCTTTTTTTCCTCGCCTACGCATAGCTTTGGTCTTATATGATTTTGCTAATTGTCGGCGTGTTTTCGTGCGTGTTGATGTTGGCTGTGTGAATCCTAACTATGCAGAGACCAGGTTTGTGTGCTCATTGTGTTATGTATCATTTTGATGCTTCATTTTGAGCCAACAAGATTTAGCATTTGTCAAAAATATGGTTTTTTCTTGTGATGACCTAATTGAAGGTTATTAAAATTTGAACTTAACGTGTCTACGGTATGAAATTTAATCTTAGCCAACCCATTGTTCATTGCATCATCACAACCTTGCAACACTCCTGACGCAAATGTGTTGACGTGGTGATGAGTGTTATTAAGTATTCCTTTGTTTGACTTCGTTGTTTTTGTGATGCTAAAGTGCTTTGGCTACGTCCACTCTTTCTAGGAGTAGTTTATGCGGCAAGATGATTCATTGGGGGGGTCTAATGTAAGATCACGTGAATGACTTTTCTGAAAGTACTCATTTCAGTTATCTTTCTCACTAAAAGTAGCACATGTACTACAAGAATAAGAAGTAAAAGCACCACGATGGTAAATAAAACAGAAAAGATTGGGGAATAAATGCAACCGCTAAGTGTATCTTGCTTAGAGACTAAGCGTCTTTAAACAATCACTTGGTGTCATTATCCAAATATAGTACTCCCTCCGTTTCGAGTAAATCGGAACGGATGGAGTAACATACTCCATGAAGTGTATTGGTCGTTTTTCTCATTTTCTGGCAATAAACATCAACCTATGTTATACAGTAGGAAATTATGGGGCGCACATGCCTAGTCTTGCATTCATCATTTTAGACACCAAATATGTCGTCTACAAGGTTTTGTCACTTAGGGAACTTGTATGTAATTTGTGAGCGTCCAATTCACGTATTCTAGGTTTAGAATGAAGCATCAGAACAAAGTAAATAAACTTTGTTTGAAAGCGCTTCAGTCCTCCAAAGTAACTAAACTTTGTTTTTGAAACATTAAAATGATATTTTGACACTATTCATAATATAGGGCTCTCTCGTCCTCCAAAGTGAATTTGTTGCTCTTACCGCTTCATTATACCCGAGAATGGGAGTGGTAGGTCCAAATACAACAGAGTGATGTAGGCTGATTATAAAAGATATAAAAGATGCCACATTAGATTTTGCCTAGTTGAAGAGAA